GTTCCTGTCCTGTTGTCAGAAAGGAATGTTGTAAAAATATCTACTTCCTCTTATACTTCCTTTTCACCTGCAGTAGAAACAGCAGATGGTTTTTGGTGACTAAAGAACCAAACTCTTTTTTCCTGACTGTCCAAACCTGTCTGGTATCGATGGGGAGTCGGATGAAATGAAAACCATGCCAGTGCTAATGACTTTAACCATTTATTCTCTTCCTACGCTCTGACATGTTTGCAGCAGTGGCAGCAGGTGGAGTTTTTTCCAGGATGGGTTACATCTTCAAAATAGACGTATACCAAAAACCAATTAAACATATTCTAAGGTATCACACCAGTATATTTACATGAATACAACAACAAAAAAACATTCTAAAATGTTCTGCAAAGTGCTTTAAATCAGTCCTAGCTGTCTTTATCCATGCTGGATCAGATCCTGATGATTGAAAAAGGAGGCAGGGAAAGCAGGATAAAGCCTTAGCCTCGCTGCGTGCAGTTAGCCTCGCTGCATGCAGTTAGCCTCACCGCATGCAGTTAGCCGCGCTGCATGCAGTTAACCTCGCTGCGTGCAGTTAGCCGCGCTGCGTGCAGTTAGCCTCGCTGCGTGCAGTTAGCCGCGCTGCGCAAGGTTAGCCTCGCTGCGCGAGGTTAGCCTCGCTGCGCGAGGTTAGCCTCGCTGCGCGAGGTTAGCCTCGCTGCGCGCGGTTAGCCGTGCTGCGTGCAGTTAGCCTCGCTGCGTGCAGTTAGCCTCGCTGCGTGCAGTTAGCCGCGCTGCGTGCAGTTAGCCTCGCTGCGTGCAGTTAGCCTCGCTGCGTGCAGTTAGCCTCGCTGCATGCAGTTAGCCGCGCTGCATGCAGTTAGCAGCGCCGCGTGCAGTTAGCCGCGCTGCGTGCAGTTAGCCTAGCCTTGGAGCTAAATAATCCTATCAACCTGTCAATCAAACGCACTTTCTAACAGAGGAGTGTGACGTCAGCGCTGTGGAGGGAGATGGGGAGGAAATAAAGCTGCTTTCAGCTCTTGGTGCAGGAGAGCTGCTATCTTTAGCATTGAAGATAAGCTGCTGAGCATGGACAACTTTTAACCAGATGGGGGAAGATTTATGGAAATACGCAAAGGTGTCTAGTAACGAAGTACAAATACTTTATTACTTTACTTAAGTAAACGTTTTAGGTATCTATACTTTACTCCATTAGGCTACTTATTTTTCTTCCTACTTCTGACTTCTACTCATTACATTTTCACACAAGTATCTGTACTTTCTATTCCTTACATTTTTAAAACAATCATTACTCGTTACTTTTGGCTTCGGTTTAATGCCGAGGTCACGGATTAGCGGACCGCGGTCCGGTGTTATGACGAAAAGTGCATGCCTGCTGAGATATGCATCCACAGTCACAGGAGCACACCTCGGTCTGTACAACTATACCTCTCGTGGGAAAAAATTGTGGTTATTTGGCAGATTAATATCCAAAAGTACCGGTATTATCAACAACAATAAATCCAAAGATTTTTTTCGAGGTACGGCTGATTTATTTGTTGTAGTCTCTTGTTTGTCACACACAACAATAAACTGTGATGCTGACATCAGTTTTGAAACTGCAAAGCTTTCTCTTAAGTGGAAAATCAAAGTGCATCTACACACCACAACATTCACAGACCAGTGTGATGCTTTCATGAGCGTCAGATAGCTATGGTGCATTCAGGAGCATGGGACATTTCATACTTAAAAGGAAAGAGACTAAATGGAACAGAACCTCATACAAATTCATGCAACAATGTATTTTTTCAAAAACAGTGTGGGCCTGCTTACAATACTGAATGCTCTATAATTGTATGTCTGTTATTTTTTTGATTTTGTGCATCGGCTAGCTTTTTAATGTAAAACAAATCTATAATATTACAGCAGGAAATTATCACAGTTTTTTAAAAGCCTGTTTAAAAGCTCCAAATAAGGCTTCAGATCATAAAGCGACAATTACACTGTCATTGTTTTACAGGCAGGGTTAGCATTTGCTGACCGTTGACCTTTAACTATAGATGGATATACAGGAATACAGTCATACAGTGTCAACTCCTCTGAAATTGCACGGGACGTAATTTTTGGCAATCTCTATTTTTATTTTAATTTTAATGTATAACAAGAATGAATAAATATCTAATTTTATTTCAGTGTTAAATTCTGTTTAAAGTAACAGATCATTAAAAATGTCTCTGGACCTTTACTGGTTGATGATTTTCTTTATTCGGACCCCAATGATTTTTAATTGGTTCCCCCTAGTTTAATGTTTCTAAATCTTTATTTCCCGTCATGTGCTCCATCCAATGCAGATCATTGGCTCCACCCACATCT